GAATTATTATTGTAGGTGGCGAATCCACCTTCGAAATGTAGGTATACGTGACCCTGATACACCGCTTGATTCCGTCGATCAAAGAGCCAATCGCACCAGAATGCTTCAACATTTTTTACCTTTGCAAAAGTCGCACTTGCATTAAAAGACTTACATTAATGAAACGTAAACAGTAAGCGAATTGGCCGATCACGTTAGAGACTACGAGGCTATAACGTAAGTAATAGCAAATTCAACGTCTAGGTCCACAACCTTATTTTAAGAGGCCCTAAGCTCGTAAAGCCCTAAGCTCGTAAAACTGTAAGAAATTGACCAATCACAGTCGATAATTTTTTTCATATTCAACTGTGATTGATCATTTAAGGCTTTTACGGCTTACGGTTTCTTAAAACATGATTGTGGATCTAGACAACATGTTGATTTCCGTAAGTCTTGCTGCTTAAGTTTTTCTGCAGTGTGTTATGCCTCTTAGGTTCGAATATAATTAGAGTCTTTTCGCTTGATTTGCTTGATCTAGATTTATCTGTGTACTAATGGTGAATTAAACGGAAAACAGATAAGAAATCACATTTGTGTACGTAAATTAATAATGTTTCTTAATGAGAAATTTCTCCGATGACAAACGAGAACGATACGATCAATACGCGAGTACGATTTTGCAATACAGAGTAAGAAAGTATTAAGCCAGCGTAATTACTTTTACTACGTGTGCGCATAGAATGCAATCGGAAAATGACCGATTAATTGGTATTCGGGATCGGCAATCTGTTTTTCTTTGTAATCCTTCGACTCCTTTAATCATCCTTCTCATCTAAGATAAAGAGTTCTTTCGAGCTATTAGTGAGCCGGTGAGGCAAGTCGCCTCAATGTAAAATAAAAGAAAAAAAGGACAGGCATAGGAATAGCTCAACAGAGAAAACAGTTTTGCAACTGTTGTAAACTTCTTTGATATAATTGGTTTATATGTTTAGATCTAGTGAGGAAATTAAGTGCAAGAGCAATCGTATTAAAGAATTTTACAACAGTTGCAAAGCTGTTTTATCTGCTGAACACCGCTCATCCATAATTCTTAATAGATTCGTCGAAAAAAGGCGGGAATGGCGATTTTAAATGTGAACTTTTTAAATAATATTTTTGAATTTCAAATGAAAAATTGCTTTTTATCGAAGAGAAAGGCATGTTATGGACAAGAATACTTGACAGTTAGTTTATATCGAAAATCCTTATCAGAAAGTTGTAAAACTTTAAAATTATGAAATTGTCTAGAACTATTCGAAATCAGTGATATTCTTCAGCTGGTTCTATCGAGGCAGCTGGTATTTTGAACCAGAGCAAACGACGATGTTCGTGGTTTCACGTAGCATTCCCAAGACGGAGGACGCGAGTCGCTCGCGAGAACGA